TTTTTTGCTTGTTAGAAATAAATTTTAACAATAATAACCAAGGCCCGGATTTTCGTGCAATCGCATAATATGCAAAATATTATTTTATTTATTATAACCTAATCAGAAATCTTAATGAGTTAGTGTGCTCATATGGAATTAATTTTATTGCAATTAATTTTATTTATTTATATTTCATGCAATTTGCACCTGCGCATCTATCAAATTTGTTGTGTTTGTACTGTCTTGGTGTATTTGCTTGATTTGGTGTTTATTGAAATAGTAGGTCTCTTGACCATTTTCTTCTTAATCTGCGCTGCTCAAGTAACAGGGAGCAGGAGATAGAAAGAACCAGAGGATTGGAGTGATTTTGGATAGAAGAATGAAATGTAGTGTATTTGTCGTGGATATAGGATTTAACTGTTGGGGTGTTTAAGTCGTTATGTATAGTAGTATTTGAAATGTACCAAGGTGCGTCACCAATTTATTGTAAAATTTTTGATTGTGCTGTTTGTATTTTGTTTATGTGTGTTTGTTTTGCTGAACCCCAAAGTTCTGCTCCATATGTCTATATTGGTCTCAGTAAGGTGTTGTAGATTAGTCACTTGTTTCGTAAGTTAAGTTAAGATCTGTAGTCCAGAAGATGTGAAAGTTGGCTATATCGTCTAGTAAGTTCTTGTCTTTTTAATTACGTATTAATTACGAACATACCAAGTATGTCTTTTGTCTAAGTAGAGTCCAAGGTACCGTACATAGTTCTTTGAAGGCACTGGATTATTGGCAATCGTTATGGGTGGGAATGAGGCTTTCCTAAGAGAGAAACTAACGTGGATGGATTTACTACTATTTATTTTGATTTTCCAGTTTTCAAACCACTTTTCAAGATCATGAAGATGGTTTTGTAGGACAATTGATGCGATATGTATTATTTTTGTGTGAAGTTAGAATAGCAGTGTCGTTAGCGAAGCAATAAATCGTGGTATTAGGGTGCTTAGGGATATCATAAATGTATATAGAATAGAGGATTGGGCTTAATACACTACCTTGTGGTACGCCTTTGTGTTGGGAAAAGAAGGAAGAAACAGAAGAATCAACGGACTTGCAATTAATTAATGCATTTAATTTGGTGCTGGATGCATATAATTGCATATTTGACGGTCGTGTTAAAAAAGATAAAATTGAAGATGGTTTTCCAGATAACCAGAGTAGGGTTCATTTTCAATCCATAATCAACAAATAATCAATTTAATAGCACTATTGACTTATTTTCTTCATTTCCTAGCTTTTCATGTCCCCTTCACATTCCTTTTAAATTTTTAGAGATTATGCTAGGTTTCAATATTATTTTGTTTTTCATTTTCTTTAATAGAAATAATACGTTATATAATATTTTCAATTCCAAAAGTAAATGTATCTTATTTTTTATTTTTTTCTGTTGACATTACAGACCTTTTAGATCTTTCGTAGCCTTAACAAGCCTACTTCATCTTTGTCTATCTTGGGCAATTTCTTCCAGTTATCTGCATACAGCTCTATTACATCTTGATGATTCCGTCTATCCATTTGCTTTCGGCCTTCTACGTGGTCTTTTGTCTACTGTTGAGGCATTCATTGTTATATAAAGGCTTCCAGATGGATTGTTACGAGATACATGAATAGCCCATCTTGACCTCCGTGCCTTCATATCATGAGATATTGAAAGGCCAATTACTGTAAGCAGCTTTTTAGTAATCTTTATTCTCCCCGTGTCAGTACTCTGATAGCCGATTGCTCCGGTTATCCGCATGAGGATTTTTCACTCTAATCTTTCAATACTTTTGCAGTAAGGACACCGGTTAGCGTCCGTGTGAGTAAGTGCATCAATTTATTCATATTTTAAATCTTGGATCAAATCTTACAATACCGAATACGGAGAAGTAATTGCGCAAAACAAATGTCTGGTGAAAAAAAGTAAATAATTTGAAGTGCATATAATTTAATCCCTATCAAATCAATAAATGTAAAACGATCATTTTCAGATTATAAAAATATTCCAAACGATAGGAAATTAGATTTTAAAATAAATGTTAGCAATTCGCTATCAATTTGAATGCAAAACATGTCTTGCAGAAATCCGTTTACGTTTAATTTATTTTTTACTTTCACTTACCAATATATGTAATATATAGTAAGGGAATGTATTGTGATCGTGAAAATTTTGTAATATGAGTTTTCAACGGAAATACATGTTTTGAGGTCCCCTGAGTTGAAATAACCAAGTCTTGCAAAATGGTCTGTGTGTCTGTGTATATGTGAACAGTCTTGCTCAAAAATGAAAAGTAGTGCGAAAGTGATATTAAGTATTTAAGATAGGTATATGCCTTAGAGATGACAGCAACTTTTCCTTTAAAATCGGCTAACCGGAAGTGCCACCTTATATCAACGGTGAAAAACATTTTTACAATTTTCTCGAAAACGGCTCTAACGATTTTAATTGAATTTGGTGTATCATTGTATAATTAAGTAATCATTAATATCATTTAGGTCTTATCCCCATTGATGTCACTTTACAAGGCTTAAATGCCCAATGTACGTCCCGCTAAATTTCCAATACGCCTTCCTCAATATTTTAATACTGCAACCACCTACTCTGAATTTTTTTTTTCTGAACCCTCTAAAAAAGAAATCATGAAATAAGTATTATATTCGGATCATTACATAGTGATGGAACGATACTTTGATTTACCATAATGTTTTTCTACTTGTGGTATTTGAAGTTGCGTTAAATTGAATGAAGAAGGATATCTCTTCCTGTCTTTTTATAGTTTCTGTTGAGGTGTTTAGGGTTAAGGATCCTCCGCTGGTTGAATGATAAAGATAATATGTAAATAAAGTATTAAAAAAAAGATATATATATATATATATATATATATATATATATATGTTGCATGATGTTGAATGATTGTTTTTAAATATCATTATTGTAAAGTTTCATTTGTTACTAATTGTAGGTTTCTATTACTTTCATATTTTAGTATTAAAAAGTATCTTTCATCATGTTTTTAAACATCAATATTGATATATTTAGTATATTTACATTGCATATATGTAATAAAATTAGTTTCTATTCTGTTTTAGCTGTTTCATATTCATTTCCGTTTTATTATTTTTTCTCTTATATTGTTAATTAGATATCCTTTTTAAATATAATTACATATCGTTACTTTTCTTTAGTAACTTAGATTGTATTATTTTGGTATTCAGTTAGTAAAACGGTTTAATGGATAAAAACTGGAAAGTGCATCTCACATATGACATGCAGCTACTTATACATACAGAAGTCCGACGGCTGGAGTGTTAAACATTAATTCATAAATATTTTTATTTCTGTTTTTTGTCACATTATGTTTTAATTAGTTTGGTTTATGAAGGAAATAAAAAATATTAAATAATTTTTTTCAAGTTTTAACTGTTTTGCCAAATTTATTTTATTTAGTTCCTTAGCTTAGGCACACCAGGGTATAATATTTTAGCTGTAGTATATTTGGGGATTGTTTACTGCGTATTCTTCCGCTTTTTACAACATATAAACCCGGTCTCTAGTAATAACATTTCATATATTTATGCTATTTACATCTGCCACACAGTAAGCCGGTATGGCCGAGTGGGCTAATCCATGTCCACAGCACAGCGTGTTGCCTGGCAACCTGATAACCGTTGGGAAAATATTACAGTTCCAATCCAGGTATCCGGTGGGAATTTTAGCTCATAATTCCCCCGCCCCCTCTCCCAGAGGCAAGAAAGGGGAGAAAAAAAAATCTGCCACACAGTAAGTATTTAACTACCCATAACTCAAAACAGATTCCAAATCGGTATTAGTTATCGGTATAACTAAGGGCGATATAACTATGGAGGTTTCCATACATGTATTATCAAATCGTGTATAAAACTGCTAAGCGAGTTATTTTTGTTGCATTCCTGTAAATATATCAATGTGTCATTTAATTTTTGTACGAAACGTGGTTTAAACCTATATCAATCAAAATTTTAGATTTGTAAAACTGCAACTACGAAATTAATACATTTTATTGATGACACTTATAATTTTAACTTTTATAATTGATTAGTAAATGTTTTAAATGTATATTCAATTTTATTTTTTTTACCTAAGTTTTCAATTTTAATCATTACAAAAAAAATTAAATCGTAACTCGCATACACCATAAATGGCCACCACTATAAATATGTCAGGTTAAATTTCCCTTATAATAAGACAAAAATAATAAGAACTCCTGGAAAACATTAACGCTATTATGACATTTTTACGAAGTATGACAAATGTCGGAGTTATGTCTAGGAAATCATTAGAGGTCCATGAAAACAAAAAAAAGAATGTTTAAAAAATGGTAAATTATCTTATTATATAAGCAAAAATATTATTATATAAGCAAAACATATATTTTTTAAGCCTAACATCGAAAAACTTAATCTTTCAAAATAATAAATGTGATAAGAAATGTGTAAATATATTTTTTGGAAAAGATAAAAACTATTTGTCTTTGTAGGTACTCATGTTTTGTTTTATTATTTTCAACAATGAACGAAATTAGATCGAAATTTATTGCTCTTACTTATTTTCATAATAAACTACCATTTGATTGATAAATGATAATCCACACGAATTATTGGCACCATGATAATAAGTTAATTATTAGACAAGTGTAGGCTCTGTGCCAGCACGTTCGAGTCTATTCAGCAGATAATTGGAGGGTGCGGAGCGCTGGCTGGTAGAGAATATCACAAGATACATGACGATGCTGCAAAAATTTATCATCAGGCAATTGGTCTAAAAAGAAAGTTAGTGAATGATTCAATACCTTATTATAAGTACAACTCTAAAGAACTTATCCAGAAGGAAGGAATGAAATTGTATTGTAATCAACCTTTTATAACAGATCATACTGTGCTTCATAACATACCTGATATCGCGTTGATCAACAGTAATATGAAAACAGCTGAGATAATAGATATCGCTGTACCAAATGATGGGAACACCAACTCAGTCTGCGCCGAAATATTCGGAAATATCAAACTCTTGCAGTCGAGTTAAAAGATCTGTACAGACTGAACAAAGTGACAGTAAGGGCTTTAGTGATCTCTAGCAATGGGCTGATTCCAAAATCCACAGTAGAAGCTACCTCTGGACCTCTAAACAGCTACGATAAATGAAGCCCAGAAAGCTGTGCTGCTGAACACTGCGAGAATCGTAAGGAGCTTCCTAAATATCCAATAAAACTACAAAAATTAACGTGAAGTGGTTGAAGTTAATTCTTTCCCTCTCCAGGAAAATACTTTTTTTTAAAGTGATAAAAAATAAAGTTAATAATAATTTCTTATTTGATAATGATATATTAAACTGAAAATTACAGTTGAGGTCCGGAGCCAGTGTACAGGCAGAGTGGCAGACCCGCAACAGTGCGATGCTTACACGGACTGCATCAACGGATCGCCGGAACCCGCCGTCTGTCCGGACGGGCTCGTCTTCTCACCAGAGGCTAACGGCTACCCCTGCCTTTACCCTCAGGAAGTGGACTGCACGGGGAGACCTGCTATCCGTAAGTACTAATCCGTGTGCATTTAGTCTTGATAATATGTCTGCACAATCTTGCATATTAAACTCTTACTACACTTAAGTAAAAGTCACCTAAGTAAATACAGTATACATCATGCCAGATAAAAGTTAATATCTTTGGTCATTTTTAAGGACACATTCAAAACCTCTGCCGTGGTTGGACATAATACGTCAAAAAGCAATTCTCAAATTCATTTTACCAGCTGATACAGAAACTAATGGTGTAGATTAAAAAAAAATGTAGACTACAATTTTGGGTTTAACATAGCTGATGATTAGGATAATCGGAGAGTATTCCATGTATATCTGCCAGATTTTTATGTATTTTTGGCAAATATAGACCTCAAAATACAGACAAATGACATAGTTGTTCATGTTGCTTCATGTAAAAAAGGTTTATTTATTTTTATTTCGACTTTAAGCTTAATAACACTTAAAACATGATTTAAAATTACATGAAAATCAGAATCAAACCCATATTATGAAAAGTAGGCACTAGAGCTCTGATATGCAGATTCAACCCTATTTTTTATTTTTTTTATTTCACATGAATAAATAACATTTTCAACCATAATTATTGCCGGCAACTGTATCAATAAATAAATTTTCCGGAACAGAATTTTATCCCAAACATAACGATTTATGTTGTCCCGAAATGTTCAAATTTAAAAAAAAAATCTATATTTCATTTTAATTTCAGTTCTTCAGTTCAATTCACCTTTGTTTCATATACGGCCTTCGCCAATCTTCTTTGCACTCTATCAATATGGCCAAACCAACTCAACTGATGGATGTTCCTCCAGCTTGTCTAATCCCATATTTGACCTCATTATTTTATTTCGAACTTGGTCTATTCTTCTCTTCCCTTCATTCTTCTTAATACCACTTATCCATGGCTTGAAATTTATTCTTGTGTTTTGCGGTGAATGGCCAAGAAAAAGATATTTATGTAAATTTCTTTCTTTGTATATATTGACACTTTTTTTCCCGATAAATACTTTCTTAACAGAATTAAAACACTGCCAGCAGAAACCTGTATATTTTCTTTAATATATGGTTTTTGCTAATTAGCAACCAAATTACCTTACCCAACCAGACCGCTGAATTATATTGCTAATGATCAAAACCTATTCATAATCAATCAATGCGTCGGGCCTCCCACTAAAGCACTATTAGTATTATTTTATATTCAGATTTTTCCTCTTATATCATTAAGTTTTACATGCATATATATGTGCCAATATATGAGTGATTTTCAAAATGTATACAAATTGCAGGTGGTCAGTGTCAGTTTATTTTCATTTTTCCTATTTTAGCTTGAAAATTATTATTAATTTGAAAGATGAAGCAAATGTTATAACTAGAGACCGAATTTTAGTGCGATTGCATCTTTGTATCACTGGCTTTGAATTAAGCGAAACAACGACTGAAATTTCATTCATGAAGAGCACATTTTTTTGAAACTAGTTTTATTTTACACGAAACTGCGCGTTTTGGGGTCACAGGATTTTATTTTCATATAATCGTTTTTTTTTATTCATTTTTCTAATTGTAAATAAAAAATCAAAGTTTTTACAAACATTGAAAATGTGGAAGTAATATCTTTATTCAGAAATCTAGTTTTGACTTTCTAAATTCTGACAAAAACAATAAGGACAAGAAGGAGGATAATAAAGGAAAAATTTTCTTTACTGTCAGTTTTTATTGTGATGATTATCACAAAAGATATTTTTTTTATTATTATTTATTGAATGTTAACACAATCAAGGAAAATAAACATTATAGCTAAAAGTATCCACTCATACAATATATACATACAAGTAAATTAATGAAAATAATTAAGAACAAATTAAAAAATAACAAATAAATAAAACAAAGTAAATAAAAATGAACAAACAAAATATAAAATAATAATGATTCGTTGTAAAGAAATTATACTAATAAAAGTAAAAACTATATATGTCTTCGGTGGAAAAAAAAATATGTGACTTCAAACAGGTATTGACCACTTGTTGTCAGAATCTGTTTTAACCAGAACGAGTGCAGTCAAAAAATCTTTTGTCAAACAGGTTACAACTGTCAGTTTAGTGCAAATGCACACCTCGCAAAGTTGAATTCGTTGGGTTTGCACGGCAGTTTTGTAGTTGTGATGAAATAAGATATTCCATGTAGTGTTCAGGTTTATTAGTGTGTTTGTTTTATACAAATTTTTTATTCAAAAAAGTGGTTTATTTTACAATTTAATGACAAAATTGAAAGTAGTATTACTAATTCAATGCATTCAGTTTAAAGAAATTGGGAGAAAAACTGTGTAAACTCTGTTGCAGTTTAAAGATGGTGAATTATTTCTTTAGATTTTAACTGAATTAAAGTAACGAAATTGATATGTAAAAGTAACGTATAAGGATACTCCGAAAGAAATACCGCATCGTTGCAGAAGTCAATTTTACATTTACAGTTCACGAAAAACCTTCAATGGTAATAAAATCGTATATTTGTCGGTTGACGAAATTAATGATATTCCCAAAAAATATGATTTAAAAATAGTAATTGTAAAATTATGTCATTAACGAAGCCCAGCGTATTCAAAACAGATGGTCAACAATCTTTCCGGTTCTTCGTGAAATATATAATTCTGTCAACATTGCTCGCAAAAATCCATGCTGACCGGTATAGTTAGTTCTTTATAGTGAGGATTAGTTAAAACCAGTATTGATTTGTTAGTACTTATTTTGACTGACAAGGGAAGTTACAATCAATAGATCACCGATTTCAATCAATTTTTTTCTGGGATACGACATTAATACGAAATATAAGACATATGTCCCGGCTTTCGTTACAATGACTCCTATGAAAACAAAATTATACATTATTTTATTTCAAGCAAAACTTATGTCATTAATTTTTGCATTTGCTTTGCCCGGATTTTGGTTTATTATTTTCAATAATGAAACATTGTGATCGACCAAAAAATTCAAAAACATAACCCCCTCTCAAAATTTGAGGTTTCACGTTTCAAGATGCGTAGAATTCGAAAAACGAATACAAATTTTTTTGTCCGTCCGCCGTCCGCGCATTTTCTCCGAAACTACTGGACCGATTTTTTTTCAAATTTTGATATAAAATCAGAGGTCACCCGAGGATGATCCTCCTTCATCGACATTACTCTCCGCCTTTAACTTTCAAAATGGCGGCCGAAAAACCTGCGTTGCTATAGACTGTAGCTCCTAAACGAATGTACAGATTTCAATGAAACTTCGCTAAAGTCATTTTCTCGACGCCCTTTAAATTTATCTATATAACATACTTCAACGAAAAGAAGCTGGAAAAAAAGTTACGAGGGATGGTAAAATTAAATTCCGAATAACTCGAAAAGTTTTTACTTTTTTGTTGATATTGTATATTTTTTTAAAAGTTTATGAAATTTCCTAAAAAAAAAAAAAAAAATCGTTAAAATCGGACAATTAGGAGCAAAGATATGGTCTCTGGTTTTTTTTTATGTGTTCTACTCCAAATGTTATATCCTTGGTTTGGTTTTTAAATTTTAAATGTGTTACTGAAATAATGCTATTTTTTTTTAGCATATTACTAATGATTAAAGAAAAACAGTTTAGTCCAATAATTGGAATCACCTTTTGTTTTTTTTTCTTTGTAACTCGGAAGGTAATGTTACTTTAGATGTATAATTGTTTGGAGATAATAAACCATTGTGAAATCATTTGCAGGGTTTTACTTATATATCAATCGATTTTTTTTTTTTTGTGCAAAATAAGAAAAAAGTATGGACTATGCTATTAAATGAGTTTTAATAAATATTTAATAATAGAAACCAAATGGCTACTTCCACTACTGTAGACGATGTTACTTTTTGTCATGAAAAAGCAAGTAATATTCTTTTTTAATGTCCTTTGAAACCTTTAAACCTTACAGAAAAAACTTACAAACATTAGTAGTTTATTTTCTAAAGCATTCATAACTTCTCAGGATTTTCTCAAAATTCAACATTAGTGAAACCGTTGATAGGCTGAATTAGGTACTCCTCTTCCAACTCATATCAATAACTCTTAGATTTAATTTATCTTTAGGCTAGAAATTAAGAAAAACTTCTCATTCATTTTTATTTCGTATCTTTACTTCTAATTTTATTACGGACAGTCTATCGATCAGCTGATGAGCAAGGTTGCGTTTCAAACTTAGCTCTCATTATTTACTGCTTTTTGAGAAGATTCTCTATTATTATTCACTTAAAATAGGTCAAAAATACATTAGAAAGTTGATATTTACTCTGTACAATTATCAACATTTACTTATTTTATTATTATTATTACTATGAATATCACTAGTAGAGTGGCTAATAAGAGAACTAGGTCGTTAGGCCCGACACCTTTATCTTCTTCTTCGGCCAAACAAAAGCCTCGTAAATCTCGTCAAACACCTCCAATTACACCTGTTAGCTCCGAAGTACATGAAATTCAGTCAGGTACATCATCACAAGAGAACATTGAAGAACCTCAGCCTCAACCAGGTACATCATCACAAGTGACAATTGAAAATCCTCTTTTATTACATACAACCCCTTGTACTCGCTTCGGCGGTACTTATACTAAAACTGGAACGATACAGAGAAGATTAGCATGGCCCTGCGCAAGGATGACACTCAAAATCGTGTGGGCTAAAGCGTGTGCAATGCACCGCCGTTGCCCAGCAATCTGACATGGGAAT